ACTAGTTAACACACATTAACTACCAGTAAGTATTTGTATCTTACATTAACACACATTAACTACCAGTAAGTATTTTGTATCTTACATTAACAGACACATTAACTACCAGTAAGTATTTTGTATCTTACATTAACACACAGTAACTACCAGTAAGTATTTTGTATTTTACATTAACACACAGTAACTATCAGTAAGTATTTTGTATTTTACATTAACACACAGTAACTACCAGTATTTTGTATGTTACATTAACACACATTAACTACCAGTAAGTATTTTGTATTTTACATTAACATGCATTAACTACCAGTAAGTATTTTGTATCTTACATTAACAGCACATTAACTACCAGTAAGTATTTTGTATGTTACATTAACACACAGTAACTACCAGTAAGTATTTTGTATGTTACATTAACACACATTAACTACCAGTAAGTATTTTGTATCTTACATTAACACACAGTAACTACCAGTAAGTATTTTGTATTTACATTAACACACATTAACTACCAGTAAGTATTTTGTATCTTACATTAACACACAGTAACTACCAGTAAGTATTTTGTATCTTACATTAAATACCAGTAAGTATTTTGTATCTTACATTAACACACATTAACTACCAGAATATATGGTTTAAAAGTCTGTGTATCCACTTATAACTAGCAAACCACCAACTGTCACCAAATTTGGCATATACCCTTAGGGTCCTAGAAAAATGATGTAGGTTGGTCAGCATTCAGACCCCCCCCCCCCCAACACACACACTATGTCACCTGCAGTGGTTCCTTTGTCTTCCCCATGGTTTGGTCTGCATATAATTGGTGAACTACTGAACCATGTAACATTGACCCTCCCCCCTGTCACCCCCAGGAGCTGCTTGCTATGTTTACCTTTGCCTTGTGTCTGCTTACAACTACCTTACCACTGTTGTCAATCTGGCACGTATCCTGAACCCCTGTGTATTTAACAGGTATGTCAAATAGTCTAAAATAAAAGGCTCATTACAAGACATTAGTTGGAGCAAAGGATCATGACCATGATACTGGAAACTGAGTCAAGTTTTTAAAAATTGGTAATAACTGTAATGTGTTAGACAATCACTAGAAAAAAAAAAACCTTCAGTTACAGCATAAACTAAATACCTCTTTTAGTTATTGTGGCATGATCCTCTGTTCTTAAAGGGTTACTTTTCTCCCAGGCAATATATTTCTTCCAAAGATCAACCTGAACAAAAGATTAAAAGAAAAAAGGCCTTAATAAGACTTTTAGTTTTTGAAACACTGACGTACTTTTAAAACAACAAATCCAGCACAGCAGAAACTATTCTAACACTTCAAGACAAAAAGAACAATGTGCAAAAAAAACAAAAAAACTTCAAAAATCAAGCCACCAACAAAATGCAAATTTTAAGTCTGTGTAACTACACAAAAATGTTTTCATTACAGTTCTGCTTCCAATATCAAAACCTGTTTATAAGCCTTCAGACTTACCACTGGGAGACAAAAATTGTTAAGTGCTGTTCAAACTAGTGCTGAACTTTATACATTTCCAATAAACAAGATGTTTATTTACTTAAACATTTAACAGTGTACATAATAAGGAAACATTTCTACATACGAGTACTGAAAATTGTAGTTCAATTCATCCTTAAATGAAAGCCTTTTAATCATTCTTGTACACTTCATGAAAGTCAACAGATACGAAAAAAACTTAAATTTTATCAAAACAATAACTGTAAGTAGATTCGTTCGAAACACTATTATCCAACATTTTTAGAACAATAACAAGAAACAGATTTAACTAAGGAATAGATTCATTTGACAAAGTTAAAGTTTTAGAGCAATATCAGGAAATAGACTCAGCCCAGACGCTTCGTTAAAGTATTTTAACTGTCTAGTAATGTCTCAGTGAAATATATATCAAAGTGTTTTAAATACCTCGGTGAAATAAATTTAGCTTCGATTTTTCTTAGTTTTTTAACTGCATCAGTTAGAGATTAAGTTGAGACACTTTGTTAAAGTGCTCTTAACTGTCTGGTAATGTTCTAGTGAAATAAAAGCATTAAGCCACTTTGTTTTTTAACTGCCTCAGTGAAAGGTGAAATAAATTTAGATTCGATTTTTCTTAGTTTTTTAACTTGCATCAGTTAGAGATTAAGTTGAGACACTTTGTTAAAGTGTTCTTAACTGTCTGGTAATGTTCTAATGAAATAAAAGCATTGAGACACTTTGTTTTTTAACTGCCTCAGTGAAAGTAGCGAGTCATACCGAAGTTACGCACAAACGCATGTATTTTAAATCCTTGACACAAAGATTTTTAATACTCTGTTTTTTTAATGTTGACAGATTTCTAAACAAAAGTAATTCTACATTTAATCTCATGTAAAACTAATGCTTCTGCTCACTTGTTTAACTTCTTCTGGAGTTCCTTGTGGTGGAACTGATGGAGCATTACGATTGAGCCCTCTGGTGACAGCTTCATATTCTTTAGCAACACGACGAGCATTCATGTAATCCCGGCTTCGATCAGCAGTCATCTTCTCGGCAATAATCGGGTTAATACTCTAGAGGAAAAACATTTAAAATGTGAATATCAGAATTGTCTTTATTAGAAAACAAAATAAGTAAACTTAGTGGAATTTTCAAATAAAATTAAATTCCACAAATATGATTTTATGGAATTCATTTTATGTTTTAATCGAACATTACAAACATTTTAAAAAAAAAAAAAACGTGAGGCGACAAATATCACTGCTGCAATTATCAACCTGCTCGTAAATATCTAAATTGTGGGAATACTCCTGCTTAAAAAAAACTATATGTTGTTTCACTATTGAAAACTTTCTTGGAATCTATTCTAGGTAACGAGAAAGGACCTATCACCACGATGTAGCTTTTAAAAATTCCCTAGTCTCAGCTTTGCAAACCAAAAACATGCGTGTAAGAGGTCAATTTTTTTGTTTGATTAGACTCCTAGTTAACACAGAAACAGTAACGAAAATCAAGTCGAAGGGAGCATCTAAGATTTATTTACCTGTTCGTATGCAATATAATCTTTCCATAACTGCTCGATGTTGATCATAGGATTGACAATACCTCGTTGATAGACTTTACGAACAGCTGTGATTCTCTGGTTTTCTGCATATGATCCCACAGCTTCACTGTAGAAAAACAAACAAACATTCTGAATACTCACAAATGTACACCATCCTGTCCAGTCACAAGTATGCATCACCCTGTCCAGTCACAAGTATACATCACCCTGTCTAGTCACAAGTATACATCACCCTGACTAGTCACAAGTATACTTCACCCCATCTAGTCACAAGTATACATCTCCCTGACTAGTCACAAGTATACTCTCCCTGCTAGTCACAAGTATACGTCTCCCTGTCTAGTCACAAGTATACATCACCCTGTCTAGTCACAAGTATACATCACCCTGTCTAGTCACAAGTATACATCACCCTGTCTTGTCAGAAGTATACATCACCCTGACTAGTCACAAGTATACTTCACCCCATCTAGTCACAAGTATACTTCACCTCATCTAGTCACAAGTATACTCCACCCCATCTAGTCACAAGTATACTTCACCCC